CTGATATACCTTATCCTTCAGTTTCTTATTTATGGCATCAAGGGCATCATCTGTATGTCCATTGCCGCATTTTGTTACCGTGCGATAGGAATTCGTGTCTTTATCGTAGACCCCCATAAGAAATACCGACATCATTCCACCTACAGTTTGGAAAACATCTGAGGAGTTTAGAGATAGTTTGAGAAAAAAAACTTGCTATTCAACCAAAGTCTGATACAAAATTTTTTGTCTGCGTTAGAAACAAACAACTGTTTTTGAAATTTGTTAAAAAGTAAGATGATAAGCCATTTCGATGACTTCACACAAAGATTTTGGTAACTTGACTGCAAGGCGATGAATAACCTTTGGAGCCGGTGCCAAAATAAGCACCAAGCACTATAAGGTCTGCTGTGTCCGCCATTTTCCCCTCCTCTAGATAGTCTTTCTTAACCTTGAGCCAATGTCGTTTGCCTGGCTCATATACTGATCGGGTATCCTAAAAATTCTCACTGTTGCGAGAGAATTTAGGAATTTTTTTGTGCCGGAGGTAGATACCTTTAACACGAGACCTTCGAGGCCTTCATCGATGGCTTTCCAAATCATGGTTCTTAATGTGTCATGGTCCTGGAAAATATGCGCTCTGAGACAAACTGAGGATAGAACAGATAAAAAGGAAGAAAGCGGAAGATGATAGGTATGAATTTCCAAAGCACAGCTTACCCCGTTACGAATAAGCTGGTAATTTGACATCATCACACGATTTTCCACCTCTGTCATTTTAGATTCAAGAAGCATTTTTCTTTCAGCCAGAGTTCTAATAAAAAATTCAAACTCTGAAGTCCACAAAGAAATGCATAAAGAAATTCCACAAACTTACCTCGACATCAGGTCCTCATCGTTGTATCGCAAGATGTCGAATATAAAAATGCAAACCGATGCATCTTTAAACTGCAACAAAACCGCATGATTTCAATGTTCAAGTAGCTGGAAACAAAGTACCTGTTCCTTTTTATGGATTCCCAAAGAACCGAATGGGAGCGGTTTGCCAGTCGCGTTGTCAACGAGAAGAACCTAAACATATCATGATCTAAATTATCCGCGCAACCGCAGCAAGTGTCCAAGAATATCAAAAAAACTTATCAAATGGGTCCTACCTCAGCATCAATGATCAGATCTATTCCTGCCGGAAAAGCTTGGGGGATAAACTGTTCAAGATGAGAAATCTTCAAAATATGGTTGGCAGATAGGAAAACAAAAAAGATTTCTAAATTAAAGCTGTACCTTATGATGCTGGACAGGCTTAAGACTTCTTGAATAGTATGAGTACGATGTGCCAACTTTGTGAACCTAAGGAAGCTTTTGTAACAAACTATCTAATATCCAAAGTTT